CCTGATCAATTTTTTCTTTTTTTAAATGGATCTGTTCAGGTTTTCTACTTCACTGTGTGTAACTTTTGGTAGGTCTTCTTTTCCTAAGAATTTATCCATCTGTTCTACGTTTTCAAATTTGTTGGAGTACAACTCTTCAGATTATTCTGTTATTATCCTTTTGATTTCCTTTGGTTCTGTTGTGACATTGCCCATATGGTTTCTAATGTGTGTTCTTTGTGTCTTCTCCCTCTTTTCTTTTGTTAGGTTTGCCAATGGTCTGTTAATTTGGTTAATCCTTTCAAAGAACCAGCTTCTTGTCCTGTTGATTGTTTCTATAGTTTGTTTTCTATCTCATTTATTTCTACTGTAATCTTTATTATTTCTTTTCTTTTGGTGGCTGTAGGTTCCCTCTGTTGGTCTGTTTCTAATTGTTGTAGATGCCGTGTTAATGTGTTAATTTTGGTTCTTTCTTCTTTTTGGACGTGTGCATCTATTGCAATAAAGTGTCCTCTCAGCACCGCTTTCGCCGTGTCCTGAAGATTTTGGTATGTTGTGTTTTCATTCTCATTTGTTTCTAGGAACTTTGTGAATTCATGTTTAATTTCTTGTACTACCCAGTCGCTTTTCAGCAGGGTGTTATTCAGTTTCCGGGTATTTGTCTTGATTTCCTTGGTCTTCCTATTGTTGCCTTCTAATTTGATATTGTGATCATTTTTAATTGGGCTATTTGTCTTTTTCTTGTAGACATGCTGTGTTGTTGTTTGTAAGTCCTGTTGAGTCAATTCCAACTCATAGCAACCTTGTATAGAGCTTCTGAGAAGCAGCAGGTGAGCTTGAACTGCTGACCTTGTGGTTCAAACTGATTTTACAGTCCAGCAAATTAACCCCCAGTACCACATCAGTACTCCGGATCAGTGGATAAAGGGATAAAAACCAACAGCAAAGTACTAACATGAAGTGATTTACCACAGAGAAAAACCAATGGTTACTAGATTGAAAGAGACTGTTTCTGGTACAATTTATCCCTGAAACACTGCCTGGCCCTGGGCCAACCTCACAATCGTTGCTACATTTGAGCCCATTGCTGCTGCCACTGTACCAATCCATCTAGTTGGGGGTCTTTCTCTTTTTCTATGACCTTTCATTGTACCAAACATGATATCCTTCTCCAGGGTCTGGTCCCTCCTGACAGTATGTCCAAAGTATGACCAGTAAGCTAGGTTTTTTTGTTTTGGTATGATTTTGAGTTTTGTTCCATTTTCCTCCCATTGTATCTAGGACTTCCTATTGTGACCCTTCTCCCACCCTGGTGTAGAGTGTTATCCTGAGATATGGAGTTGGGACAGATTGGGACAGATCGGGAACAGCAAAGTAAGGGCAATTATAACATGGTGAACTCAACAACTCAAGAACAACCTGAATCTCCTTTTTTCATGATTATTGATAAAATAAATGTTCAGGATGCCATATTTCTGAATAAATATCTGAAACTGTTATGCTGAGTGAATCTTCAAACATTTAAACCTTAAACCTGAAGATTTCTTGAAACCACAAAATAGTGTAGCTAATCTCGTTTAAAAAAAAAAAAAAAGGCCCTTTTGAGCACAATTTGGGACAAATTGATGACAGCAACTTGAAAGGTTAGATGGGACATTTATGGGATGGTGAGTTTACGTAAATAAGGGTAGAATGACGCAGAAGGAGGGTCAGAATGGCTAACTGGAAGACTGTGGTCACACTCACGGAACTAACTGTACATGTTGAAGCTGTTGAATTGGTTTATGTTTTGATGTGTACATTCTCAACAATAATAACAAGAAGAACAAAAATCGATGATCTTTTGAGAATTTCTTTCCTCCCTGCTCGTGTTTATGAGTATTGACTTTGTAGCCCTAGTTCTTGGCCCCAGAGTAATCCCCCTGCGGCCTGCACAGGGAGGCATTCACTGGGATGCTGCTGGAAGGAGGGTCAAATGGAGGCTTGTAGGGGAGGCTGGGTTTTGCACTGAAACACACTGCTGTTGCCTTCTCCTGGGGACAGACCCACCAAGAGTGCTCTCGTCAAGTCCCCTTAAAGCACTGCAGATGCAAAGCTAGGGGGGAAATAATTCCGGGCTCTTGGGCTATTGTTGGCTGAATTTACCCACAATGTTGGAATGTCCCCCAGAAAAATTGGGATGTATACAGAACACAAACAAAAACAAAGTAGTTGCTGTCAAGCTGACAGATTCATGCACAGCTTTCAAAGCCAAGTGTGACTCTTCTCTTAACAGCATTAAACTGTCAGAGGACAAGTACGAGCCACAGATTCCCAGTAACGGGAGATCTCCACACCTTTCTTCTAAGCACCTCTGAGTGGATTAGAATCTCAGCTAACTGCTGAGCAGGTGAACCATTTGTATTACTCAGGGGCTCGGGGTGTATGGGACACTCCTTCACTGGGCCTTTGTTTGCTGATGTTCCCACCTCAGAGACTTCAGAAATGTATGATGCTGAGTTTGGAACACATCTGTGCCTACCTTCACCTGTTCAATTTCTATTTATCCAATAGATTTCAAAAAATTTCACTCCCTCGAAAGGGTTTCATAGGTATCCTCAAGCGAAATCACATTTTTCCTGTTGTTTTCTCCTGGTGATCTGTGCCTCTGGAGCAGTGTACTGTGGTTATGGGCTCTACCTGTTGGGTGTGTGTGGTCACTGGGTCTGTGGCCCCTACATCAGCTAGGGTCACCTACAGGAGGGGCCGGTGCGCTTTTCCTTCAGGTGAGTGCCATCTAAACGCCACTGAAGGATGTTGTTGTTGTTGTTAAGTGCCTTAGAGATTGTTCCAACCCACAGCAAACCCCTGTATAGGGTTTCTGAGCAGCAGCTGGTGAGCTTGAACTGGTGACCTTGCAGTTCAAATGGCTTTGCAGTCTGGCGCATTAGCCCACAGCACCATGGTAGGACTCCCCACTGAAGGAAGAGTTAGGTTGAAACCTAAAATTTTAGTATTAAAAAAAAATCATAATTAAGAAATGAAAGTCATCCTCTCATTGTTGGTTCCGAGTCATAGCAACTTGGAGGCTGTAAATCACTGTGGGAGCAGAAAGTCTCATCTTTTTCCTCGCAGAGCAGCTGGAGGACTCGAACCACTGACCCTGTGGTTAGTAATCCAGTGCTTATCCTACTGAGTCACAGAGCTCCTATCCTCTCAATGGCACCAACAATTAAATTCATGTGAGTTCAAGAAAAGGCCACTGACTTGAGAATTGGTCAGAGTCTATAAAATTTTTAAAGACTGGGTCTTTAAATATATTTTCATGAAATTTATTCCCAAATTGAAGTGGCAGTATATACAAATATAACAGAGTTTGTGGTAATTTACAGAAATGCTCGCTACAACATGCACATTTATGAGGTGTTTCAAACATATACATATAAGGCTTCATGCTGAATAAATAATCCCCCCAATTAATTTTTATTTTTACACAAAAATATAATATTGCATTCTTAATAACAGCAGTTATTTTGCATATTTTTCTTTTTAGGTAAATGATAAAATTTGGACATTAAATAAAAAGGATTGTGTAGCACCCCTATTCTAATGGGTGACTAAGTTAAAGCTCGCAGTCAAAAATGAAAGCTAGACAAGAGCTGCAATTGTTTTCCAACCGAGCAAATAAATCACTTCAACGTGAATAGGGGCCACCGTATCTCTGCAATTACGTAGGCCTCAGAGTTCACGCTCAGCCCGCCGTGTTAGCGTCCAGGCTGTGTACGGCTCTCCCACGGTCAGAAATACACACTGTCTTTTGCTTTCTCTTGGACTTATCTGGACAGCAGAGACTTTGGAATTGTATGTAATATTTAATCAGAATGTTTTAGAAAGTCTGGAAATTACAAAAGTTGTTCTGTAAACACCATGAGTTAAATCTCTATAACCAACGCTCCAGTTATTTTGGGGCTGGAATACACACTTTTATCTGGTGGTAACATATTACTGATCTTATTTTACAGTCATTTCAAAGCCAATAAAAGAGCACCTCAGGTTAAAAATAGAGCTATGATATCATGGTAGAGACAGACGATTCCAAGATTTTTGGAATTCTCAGGTGACATATGTCAGTAGGAACAGAGTAGATAATCTGCCTCCTTTTTAAGACAAAATAAGCTCTCTCCTTTCCTTTTCTAATTGTGTTGTGGGGGTGAAAACTCCTGCACTTTAGAGGAAATGCCTTATCTAAACTGTCCTATTAATACCTGTGCAAACTTTCATAGAGTGGAGACTTTCTACATCTGTGAATGACAGGTATAAATGAGTTATCACTGTGTTTAAACCTTACTGACTCAACAGCTAGTGTTATGAATGTTAAGTCAGATTTTTATGAAGAAATTGGAGGTGTCTGAAATCAAAGATACCTGCTTTCATTCTGTGGATGTCAAAAAATTCGGGCAACTGGCAAAGCTGACAACACTGAGAGCCATCGGTAGTTTTGACTTTTAGTATCAGGTTCCCATAAAATGTGTGGTGCTGAGGCACCTACTGGATAATCTGCTTCTCAAAGCAATTCTAGCATCTTGAAATCTTTGTCCTTTTCTTTCCTTTTTCTGGGTGGTGGGTGGGGGTTATCTCAGGGCAGAAAACTTTAAAAAATTTAACATTTTCAAAGAGTATTGTGTATAAACAATTATCCCAATTTAAATACTGCTGGTCCTTTTGGGATAATACAAAAAGGAGGTCCTACTCTTTTCTTTGGAATGTGTTTGTGGGACAGAACTTTAAACGTAAGCTTTGGCGTCACCATGCGAGACTGACAGCTTGTTGGCAGCACACACGGACACCACCCTCCAGATGTGCCCTAATCAGGACACGAGTCTCCCCCAGGATCTGGTAGGCTCCAGCACACTGAAGATGGAGGGACTTGATTTGGATGATGTCTTTCATCATCCATTTCTTTAGGCCAATCTTCTAAAACTGGAGAAGTGGACAGATGTGACTTGGAGTTCAAGTGCCTTGGAGACTAAGTCCTCTCACAGTCACCCAGCTGCATAGCTGCTCAGGAAGGAATAGAACATGGGCTGTTTCAAACGCTGCTGGTCCTTGCGACACCAGGCAATCACAGTCCCTTCACTGTTGGCTGTGTACAAATGGTGGCCATCACAGGAGAATGTAAGGCTGCAAAATAAATCCAGTTCATATATTTTATCTTAACCCTGGATGGGTTAGTGGTGAACAGTTAGGAACTAGTGTGAAAGGTTAAGATGTCTTTACTGGAGCATAGTTATCAACTAGGTGACCGTGTACAACTCATTGGCTGAAACCATGATTCTAATACAGCTGACTTATACTGTGGACCCCACCCCACCCCTTTGTGAAACTCATTCTCACTAGGTCACACAGAATAACATCAGGGTCAAAGAGATCAGCATGTGACTTCTTTGCTTGTTTTCCTTATTACCTACACAGCAAATAGTCAGGTATAGGAAACTATAAAAAGTAGAACAGTATGAGAGTTTTCTCCTTACAGACAGAAATTAAGGTACAATTTCACAGAGATATTTAATTCCCTGAAACACAAATGGGAACAGATATAACACTAATAAACGAAGTTCATAAAATTTGGTGCATTGAAAAATTTATCGTAATAAAGTACAATTGGAAGCACTTCCAATGGAATTTTTAAAGCCACAATGTTTGCTAAGTAAGCAGAAGACTGGTTGGATGCTGGCCATGTGTTTCTGACTCATGTGGCCTCACTGCTGGAGGACAGGACTGCCCGAGGGCTTCTTTGGAGGCTGCATCCAGAAATGAGCAGCTGCCAAGTCTCTTCCTATGCGGAGCCCCTGGCAGGCTCACTCTCAAAACCTTTCAGTTAGCTGTTCAGCATTTACCAGCTGCACTACCACCCATGCTTCTCTTCAAGGAAGAAAAAGAAACAGATATAAAGTCTACAGTTCCAGAGGTCTTCCCGGGTGTTACACTGTGGGCCTTTCAACTAGACAAGTAAGTTCCGGACACAGATGTTAAGTTCCCAGAAGACAAAGACTGCCTCTCTTTTGGGGCCGTCACAGGCAATCTGGCATCTGACAAATGGGGCCCTTTTATGATGATGATTTTAATCATATGCTTCCATTGTCTGTGTGCTTTAATATTTCCCTAATAAAAGCATCGCAAAATACGTTCTAGAGAATACAGGGGGAGATATTTTACCTTACAATAGGCTTGTGTGATTTAGGAAACGTAATTTCCCGCACAGGTTTTAAGTCCCAAGTACTCCATAACCTAGAGGGGAAAAGGCATCATCTCATTAAGGAAAAAAACCTATGTGGTCTGGAAGAAAGCACAGTAAACAGTTAAGTTTGCGGGGTATGGAATGGGAATCAGGGAACCATATGCTTTGTTTATTTTATATTGGTATTCTTATATACTTAACAAACATTATAAAAATGTGTAACTGTAATGAAGCTATTTTAACATTTATAAATAAAATAGTTGAAATATATATATATATATCCAAAGGTGATTTTACAGCTCTAAATATTAAGTAGTAACATGCTAATTTCTGAAACTGCTCTCTCCTTATGAAGGAAAGCGATCAAAGAGGATAGAAACCCCTCTTACCGGACAATCCCATTCTCTAAGCCCCCAGCAATCACGTTGATAGATACTCCTTCAGGCTGGTTGGAGAAGGCAACGGAACAGATGATCTCCCTGCAGTGGACATGTCCAACGAGGTCTCCGTTCACAGTCCACAGTCTGAGGTCACTGCCTCCACCAGCTAAAACACCAATATCAACCCACCAGTCATCAGAAGTTCTGGGTCCCACCGGGGAAGCCCTGGAGGCTCATTGGTTTTGGTGATGACTGAAGACTGTATAAATGAAACTATTCTAATGACACACGGAGAGTCCTGGTGCAGCACTGTAGGATCAGCACTGGCCTGGCAACTGAAAGGTCAGTGGGTCAAACCCACCAGGTGCTCCTCGGAAACCCTATACAGGGTTGCTCTGAGTTGGAACTGAATCCATGGCACTTAACAAGTACACACAGAACTTCGCCTATTTATGTTAAGACCAGTGGGAGTGGGGACATCGTCACAGCACCGAACAAGATACATTATTAATCAGGGACCCTATAAATCAATGCTGTATTAAATACCTATTTTTTTTTCAAAGACCACAGAGCAACCACACCAACCAATCGTCCAGGGGAGCAGGGGCATTAACTGCCTGTTGTATGCCGTATGGCCTTCCTCAGGGAAATGTTCTCATGCTGATAAAGGGGCCAGGGGGTGGCAAAGTTTGGATGACACTGTGTCCCCACACTTAACTTTGTCTTCCAGTACAGTTGTCTTAAAAGCAGAGAATTCATTTTTTCTCCTTTATTATAGTGATGACAATATTTCATATTTTACAGAAGCAAACATTGGAAATACTTCTTTAACGTTCTACCAAAGACCTTCAAACGTCACAGACCAACATGTCCAGTACTTTTGAAAGACTGCCCATTGTAGAGTACTGATTAGAAGATGGTATCTAAATAACGCATCAGGATGCAATTTGAAGTGGTAAGCTCATGCTTCCCACAATTAGTTACATTTCATCTTTAAATTTAATAATTTGGTAAAAGATGAAACAAATTAAAAGATAAACTAACCAGATGAGTACTAGTAAGGTTAGAAAGCTTGTGAGAGTCACTGACGACATACCCATAAAGATATTAATTAATACAGGGGCTGGTCATCATAATCCATAGCTACTGAATGGCTTAACCCTTCAAAACAACAACAAAATTACAATGTGCTCTCTGAAGTATGGTTTTTGGAAGTTAATAGTCAAATCATTATCCTAAAGAGATCAGCAGCAACTTGGGCTACAATAAAACCAAATAACTACTAATTCTGTCTAAGACTGTAAATACGAAAAACCAAGAGCCTCACCCAATACCCGGTGGCTCTCATGTATAACTTAATACCTCAACTTCTAGTCAGAAAGACTGCAGAACTGTGTTTAAACACATTGTGTTTGGAATCAAATTGTGCATGGATGAACTGGAACTCTAGTAGCAACACTTATTGACTTTCCCTTAAAAATAAAACCAAAGCAACTTAGACACTGGCTACCTAAAATGGGGCGGGAGGGGGGTAACAGGGATGCGGCAGCTATAAAGGTATGAAGTGACTGGCGATTTACAAGTTGTCAAGAGAGAGTTTAGTTTTAGAGTGTGAGGGAGATGGTAGAACCCCACTGAACAGTTTTTTATTCTATTGTCTAGATGGTCTGGTGAAGGGAGACAGGGATAAGATTCTTATGATTCAATAGTGACTAATTGTTATCATGACTAACTGCAACTGTCACAACTGTAAAGGCAGAAGTTTTGTAACAAAAAGAGGGGAGCAGTTAATCTTACAATCCAGGAACAGAGGGCCCTAGGACCATCAAGGGAGAAGAGCACGAGTAGAATGTGGGACCCTATCCAGAGAAGCAGCGACACCAGAGATGGAGGCAGAGATGGGGACATGGAGAGAGGGAGCAGCTGAAGACTCTAGACTCATGGAAAGAGAAAGGCTGTGTGCTGGTGGCCAGGAGGAAGCTTGCAGAATGTGCCCTTTAGTTGGTTAAATGATTATATATTCCTGAGTGTTTTTGTATACTACCCTCCCCGCAAAAAACAAAAACAAAAAAACGGATGGAACAGAAGCAAATACTGTTGAATGGTTGAATGATGATGCATAGAGATTAAAATCATTGCAATGAAACGATGAATGTAAAACTGGTGTTCCCCCATGTAATCTATCACTTAATTCACAATAAAACCTTAAAAAAAAAAAAAAAAGCCAAAACTGAAAGAGCTGTTTCCAGAAAAAAACTAACAAAAAAGTACAACGCCACCCAAATCCTCTATTCTTTGTATACATCTTCATAGAAATGAAAATTAATGTGAGAGCCTCCCCTTTCCTGAGTTTCACAATCTAGGCTATTACACGAACTTCATGATGCCAGTGGCTACCCAGAACTGGGCTGTGGGGGTCTGGCCCAAGTTCAGATGGTATACAAGGGGCTTCAAAAAGTGTGAAAAAATGGAATTAAAAGGGAATGGAATTTCCCCACAAACTTTTTGAAGCCCCTTTGTATTATTTTATCTGGTGTTAAGAGGAGCTTAAAAAAGAAAAGAAAAAATAGAATAGACCTATTATAATATTTTATATATATTAGAGTAGCTTAAAAATGAAAAATTAAAAAGAGAGAAACCACCTATTACAGTTTCACAGTTTAGTACATTTCATATTTTATCACTGTAAAATGCACAACCCATAATAAGCACTGGGAAAATTCATTTATGAGCAGAAGGAATGAGCTAATGTAACTTCGGCCCCAATAAGGATTTACTGAGATTTTACATACACATACACAAGGGGGCTTTGAAAAGTTTGTGGGAAAATTCCATTATCTTTTAAATTCTACTCTTCCACGAATTTTTGGAATTTTTATTTTATGGTTATTTGGAAGATACTTCTAAAAGCGTCAAAATTTTTGGTAGGCTTAATGTGATCATTTTCTTTGCTTTTTGGTCTATAATAACAGGAGAATCGACTCTAGTCTGGATCACTAAACGTTAAGTTTGGCCTCATTTTCAGAAATGGTTATTTTTACTACACTCTCTATCCGGGCATTCCCTGGATTATAAATGTCTGACTTACAGGCAACTCCTACTTGCCCTTTGATGTTGTTGTTAAGTGCCGTTGAGTCAATTCCAACTCAGAGCGACCCTGTATAGGGTTTCCGAGGAGCGGCTGGTGAGTTTGAACCGCCCACCTTGTGGTTCAAAGCAACCTTGTAGTCCAATGCATTATCCCACAGTGCCACATTGGGACCAGGACTTGCCCGTTAATGTTATATAAACTTGCCCTCACTTAGAAACAACGGAACCAATCTCTACGCTTCACAGTCATCTTCACTTGCTACATGTGCGGCTTTGAAATCACTAAAAATGCGCTAGGTCTTTTCTTACACTGAAGTAATAAGAATTATACTCACCTGTTCCAAGTCACCTACAAATTCTTAAGAACAGGATCAGGAATGTATCTCAAATGTATACCAAATGCTCTTAACAAAGTCTTTTATGTATGTACCATGAGTCATGAAAATACCCCCAAAACATTGGGAAAGCCTTTTTATTGAAATTGGAAAAAAAAGTTCTACCTATTACTGTGGGCCGTTGCCCAGGGACACCCGAATACCCTTACTGATGAGTTAGAAATTGCAGCAAAAGTTGTTTTGTTTCTTGTTCTCATATGACGGACTCATTAAATATCATAGCTACAAATCACTACTGGCAGCAAGAAAGGAATTAACAAAATTCACCTCTCGCAGGCTCAGTTCTAACTTTCAAAGGCTGCCCAAACAAGGACATAGTGATCTCTGTATAAATACTTGTATTATTCCCCGTGTCCCTCTTGATGTGATGTGCTAAATGCTGGTAATGTACAAATCAAGGAAGAACAACCAACAAACGCATCAATTATCTGCTGCCTCTTTCACTGCCCAAAGCCCAAACGCAAACCTACAGTTGTTGAGTCAGCTCTGACTCAGAGCAACCCTGTGGAGAGGCTCCAAGGAGTGCTTGGTGGGTTTGATACCGCTGACCCTGCGGTTAGCACCCAGTGCTGATCCTATAGCAGCACACCATAAAATCATCTAATGATGTGATTTCATGATTGGAGGCTAAGATTGGCAAATATTTCCACATCTGAAATCTTTAATCATGACTAAAGAAATGACTTTTCTTGAATATAAGAATAAGTTAATGTTTGGTAAAAGAACAAACAGAAAAATCAACAAGAAAAACCAAAAATATAAGCAAAGGATAGAGGATTACCACTACAGGTATGTCCATGCCATTCTATGCTGAATGGGGAGTAAAAACAAGCAGTTTCAAAGGATTCTTTCAAATTTTGAAGAACAGAAAAGGAGTGTTTGACACTGTAGGATAAACCATATCACTGCTCTGGTTTGTTCAAAGCTATTCAGTGAACAAAGACTGCAAACCACAAGATCAGCAGTTCAAACCCACCAGAAAGATGAGGATTTCTGCTCCTGTAAAGATTTAAAGCCTTGGAAACCCTATGCAGGGATGCTAGAGCTGACACAAAGGCAACTAATAACCACAAGAATACAAAAGTACCAGAGCACTCATCAAATTTCCAATTACTCTTTCCTGTTGTGTGTGTGTATGTGTGTGTTTTGATGTTTTATTGTGAATTATATGACAGTTTACATGAGAGAGCTTTAGTTCTACATTCATTCCATCGTATATCATCTCATAGCCATGGTTCCAATCCCCTCCATGCATCTTCAACCAACCAAAGGGTATATCCTAGAAACCCACCTCCCACACTTCCCCGCCCCCCCCGCCCCCCCAGTCACTTTCCCTTTCTGGATCCAAAGTCCCCAGCCGCTTCATTACTCCACGTCATCATCTCTGTCTCTATCTCAGGCATCTCTGTTTCTCTGGGTAGGGTCCCGCTCTCGGCTCTTCTCCATTGATGGTCCGAGACCTTCGCTCTTAGACTGGAGAATTAATCACTCCCTTCCTTGCTACAAAACATCTACATTTGCATTTCCAACCCTCATCATCCATCCTGATAAGCATTATTCACAACAGTATCATGAGTTACCAATCTGTATTTCCTTTCATCAGCTCCGCCCAGAAAGATTGAATAGTACCCACTGGAGATTCTGCCTTCCTCGATGCCCCCTAGCACTAGGTTACCTCTTGAAAGCTTGTAAGCCAGTCACTTCTTGCCTTTGTAGTCCCCTCCTCCCCATTTGAATACCTAATGTCCAAGTTGCCCATCTCCATCCACTCTGTGTGGGGAGGGGGTGGGAATGTTTCTTACTGTAAGGATTTATTCCTTCTTTTGAGTTGCTGCACCATAGGTATAGGTCAAGTTCATCAGATTGTATCAGCTCACTCTTCTTCCCACTCCCCCTTCTTTCTTCTTTCTTTGAGCTCTGAACATCCAGTCATCCAGTCCAGGTCATGTGGGTATCATCTGCAAGTGTGGGCACTCCTGTGCACATGCCCTCTCTTCCCATCAGCCGGTAGTTCCACTCTCCTCTGGAGTCCTCCGTGGCCACGCCACTGATGCTGGGCCCAAGAGTCCCCAGGTCTCCTCAAACTGCTTTCCAACCAGGTCCCCAACTGGGTCCACAGAAGTCCACTGAACATTGTAGGGCTTAGCTTGCTGCTTCATTGCTTTTACCCCACTTCCCCCGATTGGTGATGCACCAATCAGAGCGTGCATTTCCATTGAGTCTTAGTCTTGGAAGGGGGTTTGCGTTGAGAGGACCTGGCCACTTGCCTTGATGTTTCCTAGGGATGCAATTTGTTTGTTCTTGTAGTAACAGTCCATCTGCCTCCATTTTTCCTGCAGGTTGTTCTTTCAAGAGGTATGTTTTATTCTTCTAGCTGCTCCAGGCTGGTCTGCTCATCCTTTCAAGTGAAGATTTCTCATCTCTGGAGATCTGGGTGTGGTTCCGGATTCTACCTATAGTTTTATGTATTGCAAAGGCTCCGCAGGAAGCCTCATTCACTGGGTAGGCTGCAGCCCCATTTAAGGTATTCCAATCAGTCATAGGCAGAAGACGAACTTACAAGCCTTCTAGTGTGATATTTCTGACTATTCCTTTCTCTCCC